ATTGATGAGGTACAAAAGATTTATAAGCCAGAGAATGAAGACGAACCTCGCCATGGTGGAAATGTATTTTGGAATTCGTTTAAACGCATACTACAATCCTCAAGGCTTTATATTGTAGCATTTGCTTCATATGGGCATTATGGTGCTTACACTGCTCGTGGAGATCATGCGATTATGGATATTTCACCATGCTCTCTTCATAAAAGCAATATGTGGAGATTTGAAGACGTTTGTTTTACAAGAGAAGAATTTCACAGTTACTTTAATTATTTTTGTGAGAAAAATCTTCAAATGTTAAAAGAAGAAGACATTCCGCTTCTTTCTTGCTATGTGTCTGAAATAACAGCTCTCCATCCCGGTTTAGTTGCCTTTACCATGAATCAAATTCATATAAGATTCGTCAAACATACTTTTGAGCGTTTGACATTTGCAAAAGTTTTTGCTTATCTCAAATCTTATGATTTTAATGATCATTTTAATGTAACTGTATAGATTTTTGTAATGATTCTTATGACTAATATTTACTGACAATTTTTATATGGTGCACTTTTCTAGGATATTCGTGCAATGCCAAAAATTACTGATATGTCAGATGAAGAAATGAGAATTGCCGATACTGTACTCTTCAAGAAAGGTGGTCTCGAAATTATAACCAATACAATTCTGTTTAAGAGTCGAGTTTTTAAGACAAATATTCTTGTTGATACTGGAATGACAAAAACAGGTTACTCAAGCATTAACTTTCCAGCACCATTGCTTCGAGCAACATATCTTCAAAATCGGTTTGGTTTAGTGACACGGCCTAAATCCCCACCTAATTCATTCAAGGATTTTATCATTTCGGTGTTCTCAAAAATGAACTCTAGGGTGTTACAAAAAAGCTTGGGTGTAGGCAATGATTGTCGTCTTCTTGAATGCGTATGGCAAATAGAGTTCTACCGTGCATCAATGCAAGTTCTTCCTATGAACATTTATGCTTCTGTAGATGTTGGAGCAGTATTTGGATCAGAGGGCTACTTAGATTTTTATATAAATGATCAGCGTAACTGGGCCATTGAACTATTGCAAGAAGAAGATAAATTGCAAGAACATCAACAAAGACTTCAAAAAGATGGTAGATACGCCTCTATTCTTAAATATGCAAAGGAGTGGGCAATTATTGATATTCGAAATAGTAAGAAAAGACCTCCAGAACAAAAGGGAAAAGACGTTATTTATGTTCTTTGTGCTCAGAACTTTGAATCTGTTCAGTTAATGTATCCTGATGGAAGTAACGATCGTGTTCAATTGCTAGGTGAAGAAGAAAATTTACTTGGGTATGATATGTCGGAATTTTTAGATGATTCTACCTAAGGATCCATCTGGTTGTGTCTTTATGGGTACTGGATTTTGTATTGACTAAATCAAAAGCCCGATGTGGGCGAAAATCTTTATTGTTGGTTACGATAAACTAAAAAGATAAATATATGTAATAAATGAATGGATCTCGAGCCCTAATATATAAAATGAGAGTTCCTTATTAACTGTACTGTGCTAGCTTTACAATCACTAAAAAATTTTAACTGTAGTTTGTCTCTTAAAGTTCACAAATGTGCATTGCTACCGAATAACACATCTTGCATAAACGCTCAAAGCCAGAAGAGTGTATATTTTTTAATTATATTATATTTCCTTCTAATTATCTCCTGAAATTTATTATTGAAAGAGGGCAACGCTGTAGATAGTAATTTTTATAGCCTGAAGAGTCGTCCTTAAAGGCCTAAGCATATTATAACTGAGATGTTCGAGTGATAGATGTGGAATGCGCAGAGGAGGATAATGTTCACTTTGTTGATCGGATCCTCTTTTTGTAGTTCTATTGATTAATTCGATCTTAGGTGAAATTCTATTGAAACTATAATAGTATCGATCTAGGATTCACCAATCCGTGTTGATCATTAATATGATATTTTGTGCTTCCGCGACGTAATGTGCATCATTTCCGCGGTAGATTCATCGTATCGACTCCACAGCGATAATATCATTAATTTTGAATTCACGTACAGAGTTCGTTGATAACCTTTCTCCGACATAGTACAAAAAGAAGCACGTGCCAGCAATCCATATACAGAGGAACAGTTTCGGGAAATATCGTGATTAGGAAGAAAACAGAAATACAGATGGAACCATAAGAGGTGTTATCTAACCAAAATTGAATATACCGAACATTATATCTTTGCTAAAGAAATTACTATTGTTAACATCTTTCTGACAAGTCTGTCACAGCTCTAAAGCAAATATCATATAATGTCAGGTATGTTTTGGTTTCTTCTATACTTAAGGTATATGATTTAGTTTGACCAAGTCTTGTACTAATACAGTAAATCTTTTCTTTTGTTACCTATGTTTTTCCTGGTGAGTTCTACACTTTTTCTTATTTTGTGATTCTAATCATCCTTTTTTTCATAGAAATATCATATTATGTAAGTTAATTAGATTTTACTTTTTTTAGTAACATTTATCATATTGTCTAATTAGAAAGGTTTTAATTAAAGAGTAGTTTTATTATTGTTTTGTAGTTTTATTTACAATTGTATTATTACTTTACTTTTTTTTTGCCCTTCTTACTACTTTATTTATATCAAAAATTCAAGATAAAAAAAAAATAAACTATTGGCAAATAAATTATCTGAAAAATTAATCAAAGTCTATTTTAGACTTTATCATTATATTTAAATATAAGGTTGAGTATAATATTAGCCTTTATATAGATAAAAATAAGATTCTTAATAATACTATTTTAGTATCAAGTTAATATCAAATTTATTATGAAATTAATATAGTAAGTTACAATATATATATTAAATTTATTATAAATAAGTACTATTTTGATATTAGTTTTAAATTATAATAAAAATTATCTGGTATTTTAATATATAAAGTATAACATAACTACAGTATATAATATAATTATTTATAAAGAAATAGTATATAATAGCAAAATATAATATAAAACTTTAAATAGTATAATTATATAAAATTAATATAAAATCTATGAGTCAATATTAAAATAATCAGTATTTTCAAATTCAAAGTATAAAATATTAATTTAATTTCAAATAAAGATAATTAAACTGAATTAAAAATAATATTTGATATAATAATTAATTAATCATTATTTTTTATAGAAAATTATTTCATAGGTTAATTTAATAGATATTGAGATTGTGGTTTTATAAAAAATACAATAATATATTAATTATTCAGTTAGTATATAATAATTATTATGAAAAGTAACTGTAAAAGATATTGAAGATATTTGGTTTAAAGCAAATATAATTTGATAATCTTTTTCTATAATATCTAATGTTTTTTAAACCTAGTTTATAAAAAATAGTCTCATTTTAATTTAGTAAAAAGTTTTTTTCAATATTGATTATTTTATAAAGATAGTTATAAAACTTTGAGCAACTAATATTTTAAATAAAAAAATAATCACATTTCAATTAACAACTGTAAGTTTTTTTAATATTACTGGTTTTTATTAAAATAGTGAAAATTAAATAGTTATATCCAGTTGCAAGTAATAGTAAAGGTAATTTCTAATAAATTTAATAAATTAAATGTGATTTTATTTAATAAAAACAATATTATTTCCAGTTTCTATTTTTTTTTTCTTACAATTGTATAAAACTCAAATAAAATTTAATCCAAAATTCAATTGAGTAAAAAAATACATTAATGATACTTAGATATAATAATCTTTTGATTGAAAAACAACAAGTTATATAAGATAGATTTTTAGAAAATCAATCAAATAACTTTATTATAAGGTTTAAATAATGTTATATATAAAATAAATAAGTAAAAAAATAATTTTATAATTTAAAAGAAATATATTATTTAATAAACTTAATAAAATAAGCTTTAATAGTATTTTAAAAAATTAAATTAATATTATACTATTGAAATACTATTACATATTTCAGATATTATTAAAATAAAAAGTTATTACAATATAATTAAAATTATATAAATAGGGCTTTGAAAAGCACTGAACTGGTATCAAACTGGTATCAAAATAATACTGATCTATAGTAAATTTAATATATGGGTTGTGACCTACTCATATGTTTTTATAATAA